AGGAGGAGGAAGAGGAGGAGGAGGAGGAGGAGAAGGAGGAGGAGGAGGAGGAGAAAGAGGAGGGGAGGAAAAATAATAACCGAGAAAAGCCGGAGCGGCTGCTGCGGGAGACGGGTGGGGGTGCGGGGGGGGCCGCACTTCACTCTGAGCTCCGTTCCTCTCCTTCGCAGCGGCGGAGCGGCGCGGGGACGTCGGGCGGCGGCGACGGGCGGAGCGCAGAAGGAGCTCCGCGGGGACACGCGATGCTGCTCCGCTCCGCGGGACCGCGACGAACGCGCCGAGGCCGCTCCGCACGTAGGGCCGCCGGGCTCCTTTTTTAATCTCATTTTTCATCCTTTTTTTTTTTTTTTTTTTAAGTATTTTTTTTTTAATTATTACTATTTTTTATTTTTTAAACTTCTCCCTTCCCTCTCCCTTTTTTTCTCCCCTTCTCCCCCTTCCTCTACTCTCCCACCCGCTCTGTCCCTTTGCCTCGCCCTTCTCCATTTTTCCGCCTCTCTCCCACTCCTAGCGCGGCGCGTTGATGAGCTGCGGCCCCCGGCAGCCCCAGGACTCCCTCCGGCTCTGTGCTCTCTCCGCACCCGCGCAGGGCCGCCCCTCACCGCGCGATGCGCCGCGGAGCCGCGCTCTGAAACGGCGCCTGTTTCTCCCGTTTTCCCTTTTCCTCCTTCTTCTCTCCTTTTTCTAAAGGAGAGCGGCACTCTCGGGTTTTTCTCTCCCCCCCCCTCCCCTTCCCCCTCCCCCCCACACACTTTTTTTTTTCCTTTTCACCTCGCGCAGCGCGGGCAACCCTTGTGCTGCTCACTCCCCTCTCCCCCACCCAAGTAAAGCGCTGTGAAACTGCGCCGCTTTCTACCATTTTTTTCCCCTCTTTTTCCCCTCCATTTTTTAGTAAAGGAGAGCGGCATCCCCGAACTCTCCTCTTACTTCCCCGCTTTTTTTCCACTTCACCTCGCAGCGCGGTCACCCCTTGCGCTGCCCACCCCCAAGCAAAGTGCTGTAAAACTGCGCTGATTTCTGTCACTTTTTTTTTTCTCCCCATTTTTATCTTTTCGTGTTTTTAAAGGCGAGCAGCACCCTCCCGCCGACCTCTTTCCCCCCCGCTTTTTTTTCTTTTCACCTCGCGCAGCGCGAGTAGTCCTCACGCTGCGCACCCCCCCCCGCTATCAAAGCGCGGAGCCTGGCGCATGCCCCAGCCCGGCCGGGCGTCCCCCCCTCTCGCCGCTGCCCCCCGCCTCGCCCCGGCTGCCGGCCCCTTCATGCTCGGCGCACGCCATGCCCGTGCCGTAGCCGGGGGCCCCTCCTCACGTCCCGCATGTTCAGGACCAAACGCTCGCTCCTCGTCCGACGGCTCTGGCGGAGCCGCGCACCCGGCGGTGGAGAGGAGGAGACGGGCGACGGCGGACCGCCGGCCGAGCCTCGGCCGCACTCATGCGGCGGGGGGGGCCGGGGGTGCTGCCCGGCCAAATCCCCCCGCGGGGGCGGCCGGGGGGCGGCGGAGGGCGAGCTGAAGGCGCTTACCCACGCCGTGCTGAAGCGCTGCAAGGAGCGGCAGCTGGAAGGGCTGCTGCGCGCCGTCGAGTCCCGCGGGGCGGCCCGCACCCCGTGCGTGCTGCTGCCGGCGCGCGGAGAGGCGCGGTTGGGCGCGCAGCGGGACGCGCTGCCCGTGCTGCTGTGCCGGGTGTTCCGCTGGCCCGAGCTGCGGCACGGCGCGCCCCTCAAGAGGCTCCGCGGCTGCTGCCAGGCCGACGGCGCGGCGCCCACCGAGCTCGTCTGCTGCAACCCGCACCATCTCAGCCGTCTCTGCGAGCTCGGTACGGGGCGAGGGGGGTGGGGGTGACATGGGGATGGGGGTGGTAGTGATGTGGAGATGGGGTGTGATGGGGTGAGAATGGGGATGGAAGTGGCAGCGATGCGGGGATGGGGCTGGAGTCTCTTCTAGGGGTGGGGATAGGGATGGAGTTGGTATTGATGTGGGGATGGGGATGGAGGTGGTGATGGGGATGGAGTATGTCCTAGGGATGGCATTAAATTGGGATGGGGCTGGAGATTATGGCCTGGGGCTGGGGTATGTCCTAGCGATGGAGTATGTCCTAGGGATGGGGTATTTGTCCTAGGGATGGGGTTTAATGGGGTGGGAATGGAGGTAGTGAAATGGGGATGGGGATGGAGGTAGTGATGGGGATGGGGATAGTGATATGGGGCTGGTGCTGAAGTATGTGCTAGAGGTGGAGTATGTCTTAGAGATGGCATTAAATTGGGATGGGGCTGAAGTATGTCCTAAGGATGGGATATGTCCTAGGTTTAGGGTTTAATGGGGTGAGAATGGAGGTAGTGATGGGGGTGGAGTATGTCCTAGGGATGTCCTAGGATGAGATAGGGCTGGAGATAGTGATATAAGTGCTATGGAGCTGGGGCTGGAGTATGTTCTTGGGATGGGACGAGATGGGGTGGGAATGAAGGTAGTGAAATGGAGATTGGGATAGAGGTAATGATGGGACGAGACTGGAAGTCAGGTGGGTATGGAGTATGTCCTGGGGACAGGGATAGGGATGGAGGTGGTAGTGATATGGGGATGGGGTATGATGGGATGGAGATGGGGATGGAGGTAGTAGTAAGGGTGGGACTGGAGGTACTGATGGGAATGGCATATATCCTAGGGTTGGGGATGGAGGTAGCGGTATGGGGCTGGAGCTGGGATGCGTCCCAGGAGTTGGTTATGTCCTAGGCATAGGGATGATGGAGGTAGTGATATGGGGCTGGAGCTGGGATACGTCCTAGGGATGGTTTATGTCCTCGGAATGGGTTATAATGGGAATGATGGAGCTGGGGTGTGGTGGGGCTGGGACTGAGGTATAACCTGGGGATGAAGGTGGTAGTGATGTGGGGGTGGGGTCTGGCCTGGGGGTGGGGATAGAGGTAGTGGGATGGGGTCAGGGATGAGTTATGGCCTGGAGCTGGGCTACAGTCTGAGGACAGGATTGGAGGTAGTGATATGGGGGTGGGGGGTGGGTTGTGGCCTGGGGGTGGGGTATGGGGTTGGAGGTAGGGATATAAGTCTGGGAATGGGGCTGTGATATGGGGCTGGGGTCATGGATGGGGATAGGGTTGCAGATGGAGGTGGAGATGGATTATAGGGATGGGGTCATGGATGGGGATGGGGTTGCAGATGGAGTTGGGGATGGAAGTGGGGATGGGGATGTGGGGGGTATAGATGCAACCAACTTTTTTTCCCTTTGGAACCCAATATCAATAATAATTCTTAGCCCCTTTGAGGTGTGGGGTTGTGGGAAGGCAGTGGGAAAGGGGGATGCAATCAACTTGTTCCCTCTGAATAATGATAGTAATGATAATACAATAATTTATATAAAAAATCCCCATCTCCAGAAAACTTTGAAATGTGGGAACGGGGATGCAGCCAACTTTTTCCTCCTAAAAAAAAAAAAAAACAACTCACCATAAGAATGATAATCCTCAATCCCCCACTAACTTGGGGATGTGAGGATGGGATTATGGATGGAGATGGGGATGTAGGAATGTGTTGGGAATGCAGCCAACATTTTCCCCCTAAAAACCCAAGAGAAACGATGATTCTTAAGCCCCCAAACTTGCGGCTGTGGGGTTGAAGGTGGGGATGAGGGGATGGGGATGCAACTGACTTAGTCACCCTGAAGACCCGATTAAAAGTAGAGTTCTCAACCCCCCAAAGCCTGGGGAGGTGGGAATGGGTTCGGGGATCATGGAGTGGTTCGATTTGGAAGTGATCTTTAAGATCATCTATTTCCAACCCCCTGCTATAGGCGAAGATGCAACCAATGTAAAAATAACAACAATTCTAGCCCCCCCCGCACCAAATAGAAAGCCGAAACAACTTGGCGATACAGGAGTGGGGCCAGGGATGTGGGGAAGGAGATGAAGATGCATGAATGAAATCAGGAATGCAGCCAGCGCTCCCCCGACCAAAAAAAAAACCCCTACTTAAATCCCAACCCCCCTATGTGGGGTCGTGGGCATGGGGGATCCTTCCTCCCCCAAGCCCCGAACTTTTTGCAATACACCTTTTTTTCTCTTGTTTTCCACCCATTTTCGGTGCCCCCCCCCCCGCCCGGCTCTGCGCCCCCCGCAGACGAGCGGCAGCGCCGGCGCCAGCGCCGCTTTGTTTACCCGACGGCCGCCCCGTCCCGTCCCGCCCGGCGCAGCGCCGGGAATGCCGCTATCGCAGCGCCTATCGCCTATCGCCTGTCGCTCTGTTTGTTCTTTCTCATGGCACGGCTTTTCATTCTCTCGGCTTTTTTTTTTTTTTCTCCTTGCAGAGTCTCCTCCTCCGCCCTACTCCAGATATCCCATGGATTTCCTCAAGCCGACGACGGGTGAGTGAGGATCGTTCGTGCCCTGGGATGGAGGAGGGAGGAAGGGGAGGGGGGTGGTTGTGCAAAATGGGTTAAAGCGGGGGGGGGGGGAACGGATTGAAAGTGAGAGAAAGATGAGTTGGAAACGAGGATAAACGTGTCAAAAGTGGGGAGAAGTGGGTAAAAAATGGGGGGAGATGGGGGAGAAGACTGATTGAAAGATGGCTGATTAAAAGACAGGTTAAAAAGTGGAGGGAAATGGGTTAAAATGGAGGAAAATGATTAAAATGAGGGGAAATGGGCTAAAATGGGGATAAACAGGTTAAACTGGAGGAAAACGGGTCGAAATAGGGAAAACTGGGTTAAAAATGGGAATGAGTGGGTTAAGATGGGGGAAACAGGTTAAAAATAGGGAAAACTGGTTAATATAGGGGAAAACCAGTTAAAAAATATGAATAAACAGGTTAAAGCGGGGGCGGGGGGGAGGGAGGAATTGGTTAAAAATTGAGAAAAGTGATCAAAAATGCAGGAAAGTGGGTGAAAAAGGTGGGAAACCGGATTAAAAATGGGGATAAACAGGTTACAGATTAAAAACAGGGGAATATTGATTAAAAGTGAGAATAAGGGAGTTAAAAAATGGGAGAAGGCAGGCTAAGAATGGAGATAAATGGGTTAAAAATGGGAGGAAGCAGGTTAAAGATGGAGATAAATAAGTTAAAAATGGGGGAAAGTTGATTAAAAGTGGGGATAAATGAGGTAAAATGGGGGGAGAACAGATGAAAGAGGGGGATGAGCGGGTTAAAATGGAGGGAGAAGAGCCAGTTCTGGTTAGAAACGTGGGGAAGGCAGCACTGCCTTTGTCACCACGATGGCTTTGGGGCTGCTGTGGGACCTCAGCTGCCCCCCAAGCAGTGGGGCAGGAGGAATTTGGGATATGTGGTGATGGCAGTGGCTCGCAATGAGATGTGACACATGGGCTGGGGGAGGCGTGTGGGACTGCAGGGGCATAATCCTGTGCTTTGGGCTTGGGAAAATGAGGAAAAGTTGCCAGGGAGAGTCTGGAAAATGGGGTTTTTGCATCACCCTGTTGGTCGTAGTTGGATGTTAGGGTGGCAGAGGAAAAAACCCCAGCTGGGGTTGGCAACAGCAGTTCTGTGTCAGCTCCTGCTTGGCAGCACGTGGAGCTGAGCAGGGGAGGGAGTGAGGGGAGCCTGTAGGAAACCCACATCCCCATGTCCCCGCATCCCTCTGTCCTTAAAGATGAGCGTGGCTGCTCACTGTCCCCGTGGTGATGCCCCTTAGTGGAGCGATTCCAAGATGTGTTTTCAGAGGGCGGCGCTGGGTTTTTGTTATGGTTTTGCCTGGAGTTTGTAGGGTTTATTGCCTTTTTTTTTTTTTTTTTTTTTTTTTTCTTCTTCCCTTTTGGCCAGAAGAGCAGTTTCCCTGCAAGCACTGCTCTGCACTTTCCTGCAATCACTGCTCCGCACTTTTCGGGCCTGGCTGCTGGAGTCAGGATGAGCCCCATGGGATTGATTGGAATTGGCCTTTTCATTTTCAATTGTTTTCTGAGAAAATGAATGGAGGAAGCCCCAGTGTCATGGTGACCTGGGTCCTGTGGCGGGGTCTCATCCTGCCCCGTAGCACCGCTGGGTTTTCCACTCTGCGAGGCCCTCGGAGCAGTGCAAAACTGGGGGGGAAGGAGTGTTGCTGAGCATGGGATGTTTTGCTGTGGGGTGAAAAAAACACAAGGGGAAGGCGAGTGGGTTAGTGGAAGAGGGGATGATGGGAGGCTCAGCATCCTATGCCCTGAGGTCTCTGGGATTTGAGGTTTTGGGACAAAGCGGTGTGATTTCACCTGGATAAGGGGATACTCCCCCTAGGAGTGTGTGATATCTGGGCCCGTTCCTTGGTAACCTTTGTTTCTCCCCATCCGTGGGATTAAACTCTACAGACTGCTCTGCCCTGATGGGCAGAAGGGTTAATGCTGGGATCAGTCCATTAGCAGGGTTGAACTGTCCCGCCTGCTTCCACCAGGGCCTCGCACTCAGCAGCCCGGTGACATATTTATTCATTAGCAAGTGTTGACATAAGGTAGCAAAATGTGTGTAAACAGCAAAGCCGCAGAGCAGGAATGTGCCATTTCGAAAGGAAAAGTGATGCAGATCGGCCAATAGGAAGTGATTAATGCTGCCAATCGGAAGCACGGCAGCAACTGGGTTACTCACCAAAAAGCCCTCTTTTTTTTTTTTTCCTTTTTTTTTTTTCCCCTTTTGAAAGAAAAGCCCATTTGGCAGTTGAACTGTGACCGCGGGGCGCGTGGAGCTCACGGTGTGTCAGTGCAGGTGGTTGGGGTTTCCTCTGCAGCTTGGCTTGCACCGAGCCGTGAGATTTTGTGTCCCAGCATCTGTCTGTCCCCGTGGTCCTCCCTGTGTTCCCACCTTCAGGTTGGGGTTTTTGGGTTAGGTCAGTGAGTGGCGGTGGGACAGCGTGATGCTGTTGAGCTGGTGTGTCTTTGGTTGCTGTGCGGGACCTTGGGTTGGAGCAGTGCCTTCACTGGCCATTGGATATTGGATGTCCACGGGGCATTGGAAAAAAGCAGCGTTGCCTGCAGAGGTGGGAACGTGCTTCCAGCATCTCTCCATCATAGAATCACTGAGGTTGGAAAGACCTCTGGGGTCAAGTCAAGCCTTTGACCCAACCCCATCCTGCTCACTCACGGAGGCACTGAGGCTGGAAAGACCTCCAAGGTCATGAATTCCAACCATACCATGATAACAGTGATGGAAATATGGAGCTCTGCATGCCCCCATGCGAGTTAACACGGCTCCTGGTGGAGGTCTCCACTACATTGTGGGATTGCCACATTCTTGGAATTGGTGGAAGTTCTGAGGGGCCATGTCATTGGCTTGAGGAGAACAGGGCTGGGGCTTGTGCGCTGGGGTTGTTGGGGTGGATTTGGTGTTAGTACGCTTTGGCTGTTGTCCACACATCTCAGGGTTGGACTAAATGATCCCTTGTAACCCAAGCCATTCTCTGCTTCTCTACAGCTTTGCGTAGAACAAGAGCTGTGTTAGATGTGAGATGAGCAGTAGTGCCCACAGGTAATCCAAGCCAGTACTTTGTCCCATCCTTATGTGGGACAGGAGCTACTGGGATGTTGGCAGTGCCCCCATGTATTGATGGGAGCTGGAGGTTGGGTAACCTCTGGGTAGGAGCTGGCACCTTGCAAGAGTGGGATCTGAGAGCTGTAAAGCATTGATGAAGGGCTGCTGTGTCTTTCCTCTGTGTGTTTTGGAAGGCTCTGAGTCTGTCCCATCAGGGACCTGCGGGATGGTCCTATGTGTGGACCACATCTGTAACCCAAGCATGTGAAGTTGTCTCAAGGAATCTTCTGTTTGGATTAGAAAGGGTTAAATAAGAGGGGAAAGGGAAAAAAAAGCGAATTTCTTTAAAGAACAGCAAACACTTCAAGGCATTTAGAGAGTGTATAGTGTGCAGTGTTTCACAAGTAAGTCCATTTCCTGTCTCCTCTATTGTTTTCAGCGTGATTAAGTGTATCCTGTTAAACTGTATATTCCTGTGAGGGCTGCGACTTCACTCTGATAAAAGGAGGTTATGCACACAGTGGTTTTTTTTGTTTTTTGTTTTATTATTATTTTATAGAGATTTCAGGGATGAAGTCTGGAGAAGTGACTTATCAGTAGCAAGAGAGCTGGGCTCTCCTTGGTGGTGGCCCTTGTGTTGAGGTACAGCAGTGAGCAAAGGGATGTCATTAGGTATGTCACCCTGATGAGGCCAGATTCCTCCAGCAACCTGCCAGAGGACTGGATGATCTGTGATGGCTCTTCCAACCCAACATTTTGTGATTCCGTGATCTTACAGAGCCCTTCCAGCCCAACCATTCTAGGATTCTAAGAACTGAGGATTTGATTTTTCTTGCCTTCATCCCCTTTCAGGCATAGTGTTGCCCTGGGGTTGTGTCCCCCTTGGCTGTGATGAGAAGGCTGTAGGATCAGGGGACTGGCGTTGGCTGTTGTCACCTGCAGCAAGGAGAGGAGATGCTTGAATGGCTGGGGATAGGGAGGTCCAAAACGTTGGGAATAGAGAGGTCCAAAACCCAAGCACTGCAGTACAGGTTCAGACCGATGAGCCATCTCCCTTTCAGTTCCCACTTTGGCAAGACCAGGTGGTGACTACTTTGGTGCACAAAGCCATGATTTTGGCAGCTCCATCACGATGACAACCCCATGTCCTACCCTGGTGACTCAGATGGAGAGGTGGCCGTCGGTCTGTCATTTGTTGCCGCTCTGTAATCAGCACGGGGCCAGTGATTAAGTGCTGTGCAGAGTCCTGATTGAGGTGATGAGTTAGGGTGGATGCCTCTTGATGAACTGCCGTGTCTGTGCAGCCAATTAGTAATCGCTTCCTGTTGAACGCTTCGGAATGTGCATGCTGCTTGCAGCTTTGCTTGGAGCCTGCAAAGTAATTCATGTACACTGATTCCTTCTTCTTTCCCTTTCTTACAGCTGGTTGTCCAGACTCTGTGCCTTCCTCCACTGAAACAGGGGGAACTAATTCTCTAGCCCCTGGGGGGCTCTCAGGTAAGACATTTCTCTTTGACCCTACTTGGTTGTCTACACTCGTGTCCTGTTGGCCAAGGGTTTTGGGGGTATGTCTCATTGGGAGAAGTGTGCTTTGAAGGAGAATTTGGTTTAATTTCACGTGCAGAGGATGTGTTGAAATGCTGGGGAAAGCTGTCCGTCCCCAGAAGTTGATGTTTCCTTTGTATTCCAGCCTCATGCGCCATTGATTTCGGAGCGAGGTGTGTTGGAAGGCTGAATGGTGTTGGCGTTGCTTTGGTCGGGTGCTTGTGTTTTCGGAGCAGTGTGGTGGTCCCTTGCAGAAGGGGGTGATGTCCTGTTCCTGGGACAAGAGCCACACCTGGGCACTGCCCTGGGCTTTGCTCATTGGGGTTCCAGCACCCAGTATTTCATGCATCTTTACAGAGTGCGTTGAGTTTCTCTTGCTTCCCCATCTCCCACCTCCTCCAGCTTGCAGGTGCCATCATGCAACGTGTTTTTTAGAATGGTTCCCCCAACCCTCCTTGGTTTTTCCCAATGTGCAAAGCCCTCAGCACCCCATTTCCTTCCCACACCCGTGGTTGGACTCTATGCATTGACGTTGCTGGGATTAAAGCAGTTGTGCTGAATGTCTGACACCGTGTACCTGCATGTCCTCGCCGTGTTTCTCGGGATGTCTCTCTGATTTACGATTTGTGGAGCACTGATGCACCACGTTGCCCCGAGATGGAATTCCAGAAACATGTCGGCTGTGCGCGCGGGGCCGTCCCTCTCTCCAGGAATGGCTTTTGGTGTGGATGTCTTTAAGCCGACCCTGTTTGTTTTTCTTTGGGTGTAATGTATACCCCGGCTGTTATTTGAGAGGGGAGCATATTGTTTGTCCAAGGGCCCTAATGAGAATTAATCAAACGGGGAGGAGAGGGAATGGAGCAACTTGTCATTTTTAGCGTTGGGCTTTCCTTTTTTTTTTTTTTTTTTTTTTTCATTGGAGCCTCTGGCTTTAGGGAAGAAAAGGAGTCTGGAAAAAGAAAGGAGACGAGAAGCAAAACAACACAATAAGGATGTTGTTAGATAGTTTTGTTTTGGTTGTTGATATTGTATTATTATTATTTTTTTTTTCCTTTTTCCTCCTGAAATGTGTCCGTTGCAGAGGGGAGGAGAGAGCTCAGTTCCACAGGATACCACATGAAATAAGCAGAGGAAGCACTCGCTTTTAGCAGGGGGCTTTCTGCAAGGGCTGGCGATTGATAACATCTCGTCTGGCTGCTCTGTGCTGGAGGGAAGGAGGGAGGGGGCCTGGGCTGCAGGAAATCACCCAGTGTGCTCCCCAGGGCTGGCGGGGGGGGGGGGGAGTGGGATGCTCTGGGGTTGTGATGAGCAAACCCCCAAAGGAAAGCTCCTTCCCCCTCCTCCCCATCAAGTGCAATTGTTTTTTTATATTCCTCGTGGTTGGATTTATTATTATTTTCTTAAATCTAAGGTTTCCTCCCCACCAAAAAAGCCTGGAAACAGACCCTTTTATGATCATTGCTCACTCTTTTCCCTCCACAAATGTAATTGTAGCCATTGAGCTTAATGAGGAGCTGATAGGAGAGTTCACTCACGGAGGGACATGGTTACCTACACAGACCATGAAACAAAGCCGAGTGCCTCCACATGAAAGAGCATTTGTTTTGCATTTGCTCTGATTTACTGGCATCTCCGCTCCACGCACAGAAGTGTAGCACTGAAAATTCCCAACTGGAGGGACCCAGTCGAGAAAGGAAAATAAACGCTGCTTGCAGCAATTCTCTAAAGCCAACTTACTCCTTTTTCTTCTTCTTTTCTTTTTTTTTTTTTTCTTCTTTTTTTCCTTTTCCTTTTCCTGGCATATTTAAATTAGCAGAAGAGTGTCTTTGAAGGGGACGTTAATGAGTCAGGGCATTCTCTTTAGGGCAGACGTGGGTTGCAGGTTCCTTATGGAGAAATGCATCCTCCTCTGCCCTTGGAGATCCCAGAGCTTGTGGTGGCCTTACAATGGGGAGCTTTCATAAAAGTGATGAAAACCCATTTCTGTGGGTTTGGAAGCTGGGCCAGTAGGGATGTGATGGAGGGATGCAGCTTTGTAGCATCATGAGTGCAAGGACCAAGTTGGATACAGTTGAGGAGCAGTTGGGTAATGGTTGGATACCAAGTTGGGTACCAAGTTGGGTACCAGTTGGGTACCAGTTGAGTAGAAGTTGAGTACTAGTTGAATACTAAGTTGGGTACCAGTTGAGTAGAAATTGGGTACCACTAGGGCAGCACATTAGGTACCAAGGTGGATATCAGTTGGGTATAAAGTTAGGTGGGTACCACTGGGTACCAATTAGGTGCCAGTTGCATACCAGATTCGATGGCTGTTGGGTACCAGTGACAGGCAGCAGATGAGTGGCCACATGCTGAACCACAAAGGGATGGGTGGAAAGCTCAGTTTGCCCTCCTACCAGGTGGAGTTGTTTTCATGTTGTCAGCAGCAGCGTGGAAAGGGACAGAGTGCGAGGGGTGGGGACAAAGGGAGGAGACACGGCCATATGATGCCTCTGTGACCTCGTTGGCATCAGTTGTAAATGGGGGGGGAAAAAGAAAGAGAAAAAAAGGGTGGGGATGAGGTTTGTTCCAGAGGTCAGAACCAGAGGAGAGAACCTGTGGAAAATGCGTGTGGCATGACAGGGCATCGTGCAGCATCAGTGCACCCACATCCCTTCTTGTTGACCCATGGCACAGCCCTGGCTCTCCCACTCTCCAGCCCTTGTCCCCCACTGTGGTGCTTTGTATGGGACTTCCCTCTCTTTTTTTCTTCTCTTTATTTTTATGGGTAGGCCTTGCGTTGCCCATCGGATGGTTGTTCTAGATGGTTTTCAGGATCCCTTCCAACCCAAAGCCTTTCTGGGTGCTCCAAGTTCTCTGTCGTGCTGACACAAAGAGAAAATATCCCATTGGGTATAAAAATAATTTCTGCAAACAGGAGGCAGAGGGTAGCTCTTCCTGGGTTTGAAGCTCACTCCCAGCAGATGGGTTTGGTTATCGTTCTGCTTCCAAACAGAGCACGTGGGGGTGGCTCTGGGGGATGTGATGGGCACAACACCCCTAACAGCCCCAATCCCAGTGGGGAAGTCCCAGCTCAGGGGCGGGATCACCATGGGATGTTGGAGGAGATGGGAAACGACCAGTGAAGGCGGGAGGCAGGGAGCAGACCTTGCGTGGTCTCATGGAGCACTTCCTTCAGATCTGCTCCGTCTTGGCGGCATGCGACTGAGTGACATTTCATTATGGGATGGCAGGCAGGCCTGGAATGTTGCACTATGCCTCTGATCCCCGCTGGTATCTGCTCTCAGGGAGCAGCACCTTGCCCAGACCCGCAGCTATCTGCCAGCGGTCCTACGTAGCTCCGGTCCCCCCTTCCACCTCCCCCAGCACAGGCTTTATGGCCTCCTGTGAAATGCTTTTATTTACAAACGGGCATCCTATTATAATCTGGAATTGAGACATCTTCCTGTGCAGCTTGGGTTGTATATTTGTCCCAAGGATAAACAATTGCTTGGAATTTTTTTTTCTTTTTTTTGGAAGGGGGGGAGGGGTCACTTATTCTTGATTTATTTGTGAGCTTACATCCTCCTTTTTAAATTTCCTTTTTTTTTTTTTTTTTTTTTTTTTGGCTGCATCCAACGCTGCACAAAGCTGCTGCACCCTTTCCTCCCAAGCCTCCCAGCAGAGCGTGGCCCCCATGCTGCAGGGCGGAGGTTATCAGGGGTTAATGCAGGATGACAGCGCTGGAGCCGGCGTGCTGCAGGCTGCCTGCCAGGCGAGGAGCCTCGGGCTGCTCAGCATCAGCTGACCGCGGCACCGCCGGCCTGGCACCGACTGCTCCTCTGCTCCAGGGGGGGGTGAGGGGTGGTTCTATGGGGCACTCAGCCTGTAGGAACCCAAAGGTGGTCAGCACCCGTTGGGTGGTGGCTTTGGGCTGCTCTGGAGAAGGGGAGTGTTGGGGATGTGGGCAGTGGGCATGGTAGGGGCGAGTCAGCAGTTGGACTTGATGGTCTTGGAGGTCTTTTCCAACTCTCATGGCTTTGTAGTTCTGCTTAGGGATGAGAGTGGTGGATCAGTAGTTGGGGATCTTGGAGGCCTTTTCCACCTTTAGTGGCTTTATGACTGTGTGATTGTACAAGTGGGCATGGCGGTGATGAGTTGAGACTTGGACTTCTTGGAAGTCTTTTCCAACCTTAATGATTCTACGATCCTCTGAATGGGCATGGTTGGGATGGGTCAGTGGTTGGACTTGATGGTCTTGGAGGTCTTTCTCAGCTTTAGTGAGTAGGATACTCCCTGAGATGTTCTCCCAGGATGGGTTAAAACCCAAAGGATGGCAATGCATCATCCCATCCCTCTTCCCAATTACATTATGCCTTGAGGGTGGTCTACACTAAGTTGCAGGAGGAATCCCACAGCGAGCTGTGTTGCAGTCCCTTATCTTGTTTGCTCTCACTGCAGCAAAGGGATTTGGGTTTTTGGAGTATTTCCCAGCCCCCCATGGTGCTACTGTGGTGCTGATGTTTTGATGGTTAGACTTGTCATCTCAGAGGTCTTTTCCAATCTCAGTGATTCTGTGAGTGGACATGGTGGGGGTAGGTTGACAGTTGGACTTGATGGTCCTATTGGTGTTTTCAAACCTTAGTGATTAGAATCAGAGAATCATGGAATTGTTCAGGTTGGAAAAGACCTTAAAGATGATCAAGTCCAACTGCAGCCTAACTTTACTCTAATTCTAACAACCCTCTGTTAAATCATGTCCCTTTAGCAGATTTTGTGATTCTATGTGGCTTTGGGGCTGTTGAGTTTTCTCCTGTAGCCTGGAGCTTTTGGGGAAAGGAAAGAGGGTAGAAAAGTGGATTTGGAAGCGTGGAGCCGGGGAGGGGTGTGTGCCTGCACTGGCAAGCAACCCAAACCACTCTTTGCTTGCAAAATAAAATGTCCCAATGAGCGGCGGAAACCCGATCGTTGGG